CCGAAGGCATCTACTAGTTTGAACCATTTGAGGATTCTTGAAGAACAAGAATGGCCGGATTCAATTACACCATGATTAGGAAACAATGGAATGAATCTGTTATCCTTTAAAGAAATTGAAACAGGACAGTCAGTTGATAGATTTGTCCTTGTTTTATAAATATATGTAATACTGCGTACGTGTCATCAATGCAAAACTTTGCTAATAGAGATTAAAAAACAGTGCGTTAATCCAACAGCGTATTGAAGTTTGACTGCTGTATTTCCATATATTAATTACACATACAATTGTAATATATGCAAGAAGTGGTTGATAAATACCTTCCATTGCTCCAGAACGTGGAATTGATTTCTTTCCGCGTGCCTCGGGCCGCAGTACAGACATCGCACAGTCGCCTCTCGTTGTTTACATACGGCACAAATGTATTTCTCCGGGAGAGTTTCTTCCCCCACTGCTGTTGTGAACAGTTTATCCCGTATTTTCTCCCAGTTAGCTACGGAGCTGTAGTTTCTTCGATGAGCTTCAGAATATTGAGACCCATCAGGTGAAAATAGGGGAATGTCGGGGTCATTGACAGCTTCAAGAAGAGGAGTTTCCTGGATCGGCTGAGAACCAGTTGTGTTTGAGCTGACCGTCAACGGAGTATGAATAACAGTCTTCCCAGTTCTTCCGAGGACAATCGTTTTCACAGAAACAGGTTTGAACTTCTACATAACTCACGAAATTAAACAACGGGGTGAACTTTAAAATGACCGTCAAAGCAAATGGCGAAACTCTGTGAAGCGGTCAACCACATCAGACGGCCCAGACGATCATTTCACTTGGGTACTACCCACATTCTCAATTGAGAAATACCGGGTGTTACCCTATGAGAAAATGTAACCCGATTTTCCATTTTTTTATGAATTCTAGAAAAACGGGATAAATTTTACGAGTTCATCCGCAAGTGGCTAACAGGCTAAGTTTCCATATGCCATCCGCTTTACCTGGTTTTTCCATTTGATCAGCGAATTCTAGAAAAACAGGGTAAATTCTGTGGAATTCATCCTTAAGGAAGAATATATCGTAATGACTTGCCATAGCCATCTTTACCCGATTTTGATTTGATCATTATGTGAATTTGTCGTAAACAGGTTAAGTTATGACAAATCCACCCAGAAGTGCAACAAATCCGACAATAATTTAGAAACAATACTGAAACAAGAGCAGCTTAAATCAGCGGAACTGTAATGAAATTTAGAGACAGAACTAAAGAAAGTACAGCTAAAATCAGCGGAACCGTAATAAAATCACATCACACTCTACTATTTCAAATTTTTGCCATACAGCAAAAACCTACGATATTCGAAATAAACAACTGAAGGCCAAACTTCTGTGATTGAAGGAAGACTTCGTGAAGCAGACAATAGTGTGAGAGATTGCGAACAGCATGTTTTCCTGAGATTAGTTGGAAGTTGCTCATACGTGTTGTGAATTCAAGAGAATCACAGGGTAGCGCCGCTTAGCAGTGGAAGGATAGCTAGTATAAAGAGCCCCAAAACGAACGCACAAGCACCACGTATAACAATCCCAAGTGTTTTAATGTTATGTGATACAAAATGGAACGTAGCCAGGTAGCGGTAAATAAGGTAGTTGCTGAATACTTGGTGTGATTTCGATAGCAAATGTGGTAGAACTATGTGCGTGTGTGTGATTCGAACTAGAAGGTAACAGAAAACGAAACGAAGCTAATTAATTGACTTACAAACGATGACACAGCACAATGACCTATTCTTGAAATCAATTGAACTAATAATGAAGGAGACGATAAACTAAATCGAGCATAAATAATATAGGTAATTTACTTTGGTAGAGCTCCTAGCGTACTTGAAAAGCGCGGGTAGCGGAGTAGACAAAACAACTTTAAAATGAGTAGCGGAGCGCACGACCTCTTGACCGCGATCAAAAAATGGTTCTCTCTTAGTCGCTAGCCCGTAATATGAGCGAATGACTGACATAAATTGCGTAACATTTTCACACCAATTACAGTAATCGACAAAAATAAACCGTAATGTAGATAAACATAGACAATAGGCGGTTAAGCAATAAATAATCTAAAGTACAAAGAAAATAAATAGCGTTTCAAAACTAACACGTGTCAAATTTCCTACTTATCCCGACCCCTTGAATGAGCACTTTTTGCTTGAAGACATAACTGTAACGGAGTCTCTTAACCAGTCCCAAGCCGCGTGTCGCTCTATAGATCACAGGATGGGATTGGCCATTGTGTCACATTACGTCAGAGGACATATCTACGACAAGAGGACATAAGTGCAACGGTACATAGGGGAGGCTATATCAGTCAAAAGTGGTATGACTTCACGACTGATGATCAAGAAATCGATCGCTATGATTGAGTTTATCGATCAGTGATTGAAAATGTCGATCGCTGTAATTGAGATTATCGATTGGTGATTGAGATTGTCGATCGCTATGGTTGAGATTATCGATTGCTGATTGAGAATGATGGTCGCTTTGGTCCAAAAAGCGATCGAATACCAAGACTCACGATTGCTATGGTCGAAAAAAAGATTGTATGTTGTCTGAAAACGATCGTCCAGAGATTGACGATCCTGAACATGAACACCTACCGCTAGCCCTACCGCTATGATCGAGAAATCGACTTGCAGCTGAGAAATGGGAAGGCCTGGCAATAAGAGAGGGATAGTTCACTTATTTTAACATGAACAAGTCTTCCAACAATTACCTTTGTTATCTAAGATGGCGGCGGATGATGGAAGTAGTCGAGATATCGAGGAATTCCTTGACTCCATGAAACAATGCTTTGACGATGCGGATCAAGCGCCTGCTGCTCCGACGAAGGGCTAACGCTCGAAACGTCAGCTTTTGTAATCGTTACGGTGGCCAATTTCCCACTTCAACTTTGTTGATATATCCAAATTATTTCGTTACTCCCACCGACGCAGCCCCAAACAGTTTCTTTCGAAACTATCAGCCTTTATTCGCTTGCTGAATTAGACATTTTGACAGTGAACTCGATTATGGGAGGTCATATCCGTCAAAAGTGGGCAAAGAGTTCCATATTACCCTAGCTCTACATTAATTATGCATAGAGTGTTGCAAAGAAACCTTTATATTTAGTCTTTATGAAATGGAATGCATAATTAATGTATGGGGTTATATGGAACTCTTTCCCCACTTTTTACTGCTATAGCCTCACATAATGGAGTTCGGCATTGTCAAATTGTCTAATTCAGCGTGGGAAACCAGCTGCTGACCATGTCGAACGCGAACAGTGATAAACTCTGCCTGTGATCCTCCTTGTGATTTTCCAGCTCGAGTTGTTCTGAAAATTGCCCTTTGTACCATGGTTGGGGAACAAAGAGGTAAGATCAGGAACGTTTTCCACATACATGTCGTAGTTTTCGAAAAGGCTTTCAAAGTTTAAAACCGATAAACTATAACAGTTACTCTCGATTATCTAAATCTAAATCTAAATATCGTTATGTGGCCAAAATCGTTTAGGACATCACGCCAACTCTAAGATAACAATAAGTGAAGCTATACTAAATATACAACACGATTAAAAACTATTGAAAATTATTAAAAAATATTTAAAACTACCGATAAATAAATTTAAGTTAGTTTGCTTTTAAAAATACGGAGGGATTGGCTGGAAACAGTTTCTTTTGGGAGTTTGTTCCATTCAGTTATTATCCTGGGGAAAAAAGAAAATCTAAAAATATCTTTATGTCCTTTCGGTACAATAAATTTAAAATCATGGCTTCCTCGGGTTCTCCTTTCTTTGTTTGTTATCAAATAATCCCCCCAATCCCCATCTAGGAGGCCGTGGCACATCTTGTACATAGTGGAGAGCCTTGCATGTCTTCTCATTGTTTCAAGTGTGTCCCACTGTAGGTCTTGCAGCATTTCCGTCACGCTCGTTGTTCGATCGTAATTTCCAGTGACAAAGCGGGCTGCTTTCCGCTGTACCCTTTCTAGAGCGGCTCTATCTTTCTGGTAATGTGGGTCCCATGCGCTACAGGCATACTGGAGTTTTGGCCTCACAAGTGTCATATACACGGTTTCTTTCACTGACTTTGGACAATTCCACAGGTTTCGCTTGATAAGTCCCAGGACCTTATTTGC